TAATAAAAATAAGAATAGACACACCTGGGTAATGGAGACAACAAATTGTAGAAGCCTGTAGAATGCCAATCTCCAAAAACAAGTGTGATTAACAATGAAAGCACAGAAGACAGTAGAGAAGAGGGTTTTCTCAAAAGGTGTAAAATATCTCTATTGTCTTGTTCAGAATTCTTTTCTCAAAACTAGTTGAATGTAAATTGTATTTTCGAATTCTGTAATTGTGTGTTTTTTATTTTTCATCAAAACTTAATTAAATAGAAAAATAACATCAGAAAATGGTCGTTGGACATTAATAATATCATAGAGAAAATCAGGATGTATTCAAAAACATTTATTCTTTAAAACAGATATATTTTTCAAATTTGAATTGCCATAATTGATTATATTACGAGTATAATTAATTATGATAGAGAAAATCATTTTTCCATTTCTGGTGCATCATAATTAATTATGACAATGAAAAATATCATGTTATGAATTTTGTCACACTTGTGCTTTGGAGGCTTATGCATAATATTACTTCATCAACTTGTACCTCCATATCCAGTATTCTAAGACTCTATCTAGTCTTCAGGAATCATCTTGGGCTTGCTTGAATCATCATCTTTATCAAAAACATATATTGTGCATGTAGGGAAATGTTTCACATTGTCACCTACGTCATAAATTCAGCTTGTCCTTAAATTCATCTTGAATGGTGTTGACTTGAATGTAGTTGACTTGAATCATCATCAAAATCATCTCTTAGGAATGCAGGAACATTTCCATCAATCTCCCCCTCATTGCTTTCAAGAGGGTTTTCACTGATGATAAAACGGGTCAGTTCGTTTCACTTTGACTCGCTTCTATTTTTAGTTCGCAAAAATTGGGATGAGACAGGTTGACCTATCATAGTCAAGATGATCACAACTTGTCCTACCAAAGGACAAGTAATTGGGTCAGTCCGCCAATAATATTTTTTATATAAATATTTTATATGTATTTTTTTTAAATATATCTTTAATTATATGAATAATTTTAAAATTTTTATTTATTAATTAATATTTTTATTAGATAAATTAAAAAAATATTATATTTATGTATCAAAATAACTATTTATAATCAATAATTTAAATTTATTTAATTAATTTTTATAATTTAAATTATAATATTATAATACATTTATATATTTTAATAACATAATACAAAAATATAATATTTTTAATTATAATCATTTTTATTTTAGTTTTAATATATATATATTTTTTACAACTGGTTAATCAGTCTTACGCCCTTGACCCACTGAGTTGGTGGGTTAAGCGAGTCAAAATGGGCTGATGGATTAAAATCACCAACCCACTCTACCATTTTTTAGACGGGTTGGTGGGTCATCCATCAAGTCTAACCCGTTTTGTCATCCTTAATTGTTAAGAAAGGTAATCCAACTTAATGTGATAGGACCTACAAACCATGTAAAAAATATTAATAATCTAACTTAACTTTTAATTTTAAATAAGTCATAACTTTTTGTCTAACCTAATCTTATATTAGGCTAACAAGATAACAAGTCAATTTTGACCTAATTGGTTTTTTTTTTTTTTTTTAATTATTGTTATGTTTATATAAAATATAAATAATTAATTTTTAAAATAAAATTAAAATGTATTTTTAAAATTTAAATTATTTAATATAATTAATTTTTATTTCAAATATAATGATTTAATATATAAAGTATAAAATAAGATATTCATTTAGTTCCAAAATAAAAATTAAAAACTTACTTTCATTATTATCATTTATTTTTGTAGTTATTTATTAATCTAAAATAGTAATTCATCTTAATCAATTGATCTTTGAATAAGTAGATGTTAAAAACTAACTCTTATATTTACTCTTAAAATAAATAAGTTTCTTGTTAAATTAATTTATAATACATATATATTTTTTAATATTCTTGTTTAAAAATTTATTATTATTTATAAAACTAGTCATTCTATAAAATTTATAGACTAGTATGACCTAAGTCATAATTTAAATAGATCAAATCAAAATAAGTTTGATTTAATTTAGACTACCAAATGTTGTACTGGCTATTTGACTTATTTCTTTAACCTTTTAAATTGATCTATCTACTAAATATATTTTCATTGGCCCCTAAATAAAACTTTAAGTATATACCTTATTAAATTTCATTTACAAATGAAACATTTAATCTTAATTTATATATAAAATTTTATCATTTCATAACATTTTATCAAATATAATTCAAATTAGTTAAATTATTAAATCATGGTGAGCATAATTTAGAAGAATCCTTCTATCAAATAAAGCACAAATTAAATTATTTTTAATTTTATGAGCTTAATTTATGTAAATAAATCCACTAACTTAAAAAATATAAATACATAACAAATTAATATATAACCATGGATGTTATAATGCTAGAAAGCAATATCAATTAACACATAACCTAATAGAAATGGTCTCTAATTGATGTTAAAATTATAAACATAATTTGCATAAGATCCAAAAACCCTAACAAGTATAATAAATCAATGATTAAATTACAACTAAGATTAAAAAACAATTATATCACTTAAATAGTTTATATAACAAATCCTAAAGTTTAGAAGTTAACTCTCCACCTATACGTACGATTTTTATTAATCTAAAATACTCTTTAAACTTTGTACGATCTCCCGTAAATTTTTTTTCCATACACAAGAAAAATCAACACACAAGTGTTTAGAATGGAAAGAAAAAAATATAATACTTATTTATTTTATTATAACTTTTTTTTTTTTACTATCGGTGGTATAGAATTCAACATATAAAAATCAAGCTCAATTATTTTTATTAACTTTATTTTACGAAAAACAAAATGTTACACCTTCAGGACGTTATTTAATATTTAGATAGAAACCTTCATTTGTATGAAAAAACAAATCTAAATATAAAGCCTCTAACAGAAGATAATGAAAATATTTATGATAATAAATTAATATATAAAATATTTATTAAAATTTCCAGAAATATTATTTTGATTGAAACTTCCTGTAAATAAATGGGGGTTGTAGTCAGAAATAAAATAATATAAAAAAATCTTAGTAATATCAAATAATAAATCAACGTAAACCTTGTAATATTAGTATAAATATGACATAAAATTTAATTATAATATCTATTATTATTAAATAATTTGCATTGAAATCAATATTTATATTAGAAGTTTGACTATTCAAATTATAAAAGTACGTTAATCATAATTCTCTTAATTATGTATTTTTATAAAGTTAAAAAATATCATTTTTATAATATTTATTAATATGTATATATATATATATATTATAATTATAAATTGTTAAGATTAAAATTAGCTTATTTATAAATTAATTTGTAAAATTTTATTATATATGTTCTTGATTTTTTTAATGTGTGTAAATTAATTTCATTAATTTGGTTTTTGACTTTTCATTGAATCTTAATTGAAGAATGCAACTAGAATCTTAATTGAACTATGGGCCTAGAGAAGTGCGTCCTATGTATGTTCCCCAACCACCTTGTAAATATGTAATTATGTAGCGAGGATACAGACTGTATTGCGTTTTCGACGTCAAAATTTAGAGGTCATGCAACCACGACGCGTGTCATATCCTAAGGGAGCTTTTCTTTCAAATGACTATAGTAACGTTCTAATAATAACCCATCTATTAATTTGTCCTCTTTTAAAAAAAAATTGATTCATACCCATCATCGTTTTTGAATTATTATTCAATAACTTTTATATCACCACCTCCAAGGAACAGTTTACTAGCGGACAAATGCACAAAATGTGCATCTCACATACCAAGCTTTTAAACTTAATCCTCTCACTATTTAATAAAGGTGTAATTTTTTTTAATCTCATCACCAACTTCAAAAATATCTACTTTTTAAATCTATGTGAATTTCTTCAAATTAATATTTTAAAAATCGAACCCGTAAAAACATAAATTTAAAATTTAATTCAAATGTAAAAACATTTAATAAAATCTTTTTTTATAATATTAAAATTATGATTACTATTATTATTATTATATATCATAAATTACAACAAAAATTATAAATATAAAATATTAAAAATATAAGATAACTAATAATTAAAATAAGATGACTCATTATTTAAAACTAGAATAATTATTACAAGATAACATTTCAAAATAGTTATATTTTTATATAAAATTATTTAAAAAAATCTGACTTTAAAATTTAATTAATTTTTCCGATTTTAATAATTTTATTAAATTAGTTAAATATATATATATATCAAATCCAATTTTAAAAACAGTAATAAAAATTGATTAAAATAAGGGTGATAAATAGTTTTTGAGAGGAGTATTAGTTTATTATGATTAGTTAATTAATTATTATGAAATGAAATGTTATAATGTGTGTAATGGAGAAGGAGTTTTGATGAGGTAGGGTATGACATAGCATGGGAAAGTGGGCCAAGGAAAGGTTTTTGAACGGTGGATGTGAGGCCACGTGGAGAATGGTTTCCCCGATCGTGGATGAATTTGAGAGATACAGCTATTAAGGAGGTGATGCTGATGCGTAGCCGACCCAACCTTGTGCCACTTCCAACGTAGAGACGCAAACAAGATCCAAAGTAGCGTAAGCGCCAGACACTTCACCTCATTCTCATCCAACGTCTTAAATATCTCCTGAGCCACCTCCTTGAATCTTAACCCTCCACCCCCACCCCCAATTTTTTAATCACCCTTTGTCTCTATAGTCTTAGCTTCTTCTGCCTTGTTGAATTCTGAGTTCAACCCCGTTTACTCTTTCTCTCTCATTTCTCCATTCTCGTTTTCGGAAGTGAATCCCAATGCCTTCCTCGCTCCACCATTGAGCCACATTGCATTATTATTCTTCTTCATCAATTCAAACCATGGTATGACCATGTATCCATCTTACACCACTCCATGGTTTTCTACAGCATTTACAATTGGTTTGTTGTTCTTTTTTCATAGCAGGACACAATGCTGTTGCCTCCCTGGCTTGAGCCACTCCTAACCACACCCTTTTTCAATGTGTGCCGGGTTCACCGAGATGCTGCCAGGAGCGAATGTAACATGTTTTGTTTGGATTGTAACGAGGATGCGTTTTGCTTTTATTGCCGTTCCTCGCGACATAAAGATCACCAAGTGATTCAGGTTGAATTGCATTGCATACCTACATTTAATTTCTCGTTTTGATACTAATGTCAAAGTCAAAGGCTTTTCAACAATGAGGAGGTGGGGCTGAGAATTTTTGGATTGGAATTATGAGTTTTGTGATTTTGTTATTACTGTTGTTGTTGATTAGATAAGGCGATCTTCGTATCACGATGTAGTGAGGGTGTCGGAAATTCAGAAATTGTTGGACATTAGTGGAGTTCAAACCTATGTGATCAACAGTGCCAGAGTTTTGTTTCTGAACGAGAGGCCTCAACCAAAGTCTGGAAAAGGTGTTGCTCACATTTGTGAGATTTGTGGAAGAAGCCTCTTGGACCCATTTAGGTTCTGTTCTTTGGGGTGTAAGGTGAGACATTATCTTGATTTTATTAATATTATTTTAGTTTAATTTCACTCTCACATAATCATAACCCTTTTTCATATCATATATCATTATCAAAACGAGCATAATTCACAGCTCAATTCACCCTTGTCATATGGGTATAACACCCACCACCCGTACATCGTCACCTACATTTGAAAGCCCATCAACATCATAATTATATTCCCACCGCCATTAATTATCATGTGTGTATGAATGTTATATGTCTATCTATTTATCTAATCTTCCTCCATTGACATTTTGGTACATTTATAATAACAATCTTGCCGTTTTATTTATGTTGATGTTGAACATGGCATAATGAATTAAAATAATTAATGCGTTATGTTAGACATATGTATTAATTAACTATACTATTGATATGTGTTGGCAATGACTGAAATAGGTTGTGGGAATAAAGAGAAACGGGGATACCAAAAATGAGGCATCAACAATGGAGGGTATGTCAAAGAGATTGGTTTCTTCAAGACACGAGCAAGAAGAAGAATTGCGTGAAGGCTCACAACAAGACATGTACCCGGCCACGCCTTCTCCACCTGCTTCAAACACAAGGAGGAGAAAAGGCATTCCTCATAGGGCACCTTTTGGCTCCTAATAATTAATGATTTTCTTTTTTACCCTCAAAGTTGGTGCTACATGCATACTCCATATATATATTCAACCCCAGTTTACCATTTTTTTTCTTTGGAACAATTAACCCCTCTTTTGGGGTATCTGCCTGGTATAATTTATTTTTTTCATTGAAGAGAAAAGAGATGGTAGGCTTTGGTGGAGGATGTCACAACACAACTTGTCCAATGTGCATCAAGTGAGAAAGCAAAGCCAAGCAAAGGAAAGGGTATATAGGAAAGTTCCTTCTTTTGGGGTTTGGGTCCCAAAACAACAAATTATCCCTTGTGAAGAACCAATAATGCATATTTGTTTAATCTTTAATAGTTGCCAGTGTACATGTCATTAACAAATTATAAAGCACAACTTTGTGGACTCCGTTTCATACTTTTCTATGGTCCACCATCCACATGGGCCGTTTACATCAACTTAACTACACCCTTTGTATTATAATCTAAAACAATAAATAATAAAATATCAACACATTCTTCCATTTAACTACATTATTTTCTTATTTTACCCTTTAATAATATTTTCACTTCATAATGTAAAACACACGGTAAGAAGAATTACGGATAAAAGACAAATTATGATGTATTTCAAAAAATAATAATATTATTATTATTATTGTCTTTCACTTTTATAAATGGTATCAGATAAAAATATCTAATTACACATTGTTAAACATAAAAAATAATACACATGAAATATTCCGTTACATGTTAAATTATATATCGTTATAGATATAACAAACAAAAATTATATTTTTTTAATATATCTAAAATTAAATTTTAATTTATTAAAATATTATTTTGGGAAAGGTAATTTAAAATGTAAAAAAACCATGATTAATTCATAAAATGGAATAGGTGTGTGACACAAATTAATAAGATGAGTTGCTAGGTATTTATATATTATGATATTATTATAAATTAGAATATATAAATATACTATAATATTATAATTTAAATTATGAATATTAATTAATTAAGCTTAAATAATAGATTATAATTGAATATTTTAACCTATATATATATAATAATTTTCCTAACTCATCTAATAAAAATAATAACTAGTATATAAAAACATAAAAAAAATTGATAAATTATCAATTTATCTTTTGGTGAGACATTATGATCTATAATTCTATGTTTTAATTATCACATGTCAATTTATTTTATCTTATTTTTTTTATGAATGAGAGGTGAACCAATTTAATTCAGACCATTTTACCATGTAATCTCTTTACAACGCATGCGACTTGTTGACAAAAATGTGTACATAATATTCATTAATATTTGCATTTAATGTTCTTGGGCGAAATCAAAACAGCACTTTCCCCTCTGCCATCTTTCTGTTTTTGTAATTTAGGTTTAAGTCTTTTTTCTATCCCATCCATCTCGATTATTGTTTTTCATGGATTTTTCGCACAAAAATTATGAAAATTGAAAGGTAATAAATTTGAATCAATTATTGTGTTTTATAATTAGGTAGTGTCGTTTTCTCTTCTACATAATTAAATCATGAACTTAGGCAATTAGGTAGAGCAGATATGAATTGATCGCTACTCAAAGTTATCAATTCTGAGAACGCGTGGCATCCAAATTTAACCTACACTGTACATTAATTAAGATATTCTTTTTTAATTTTTAATATCATAATGTTCCTCAATCAACACGGTTTTAGTTGTAAGTTTGGATGTTTTCACTCTCTAACCATATATTAATACAATAATTTGTATAATTAATTTGTTTATATTCTTAAATTTTATAAACTTTAATAAAATTAATGATCATGATCCTTATTTAACTTTAATTATACCTTTTTCTTAAAAAACTTTAACTATATATATATATATATATATTTTTTTTCTTTTATAATAATCACACTTTTATGAAAGTTGAAGAAACTATTTTTCATAAGTTGAAATTAACGAATAAATATTATAAATAATATATTCTAAAAAAAGTTGCTTAAATATTTTTTTTAAATTTATTTATTTAACTAAATATGTTTAGTATTATACACAAAATTTAGTAAGCAAAATAATTTCGTATCACATAATATACTTATTTTTTTTATTTCCTTATTAATTTTATTTTTTATCTTTATTTATTTTTTATTATTTTATTTTCTCGATCTCATTTAGTGTTTTTTTTTTAATTTTCTCTCATTTTATCTTATTATTCAATTAAAAATATTAAATCAAATTTTGATAAACTAAATCTTTTATTATTTGTGAAAAATAAAAATATTTAAATGATCCATAAATATTATAACTTAATATATTATATTTAAAAAATATTATATGATAAATTTGAGATATTGTAAATATTATAATTATGTTCTAATTATTAAGAAAAAACTAAATATTTTTCTAATAAACATTTTTTAAAATTATCTAATCTAAATACTTATCATAACTCAACCTAATTATAACTAGATTAAATACTAAGTAAAAAATATATTTAACTCATAAATCTTTGATATTTTTAATTAGATGAGTAATGATTTATTATAAAAATAGTTTTAAATTAATTATTTACGTTATCATAAATAAAATTATTTACTGTAATAATCATCGTAAATAATTAGTTGATATTTTTAAGTTTCAATGTTAATTTTAAAATATTTATTTTAACATATTTTTATTAAATTTTAAATAGTAGTTTAATTAGAAAAAAATAAAAAAGAGATGAAAGAGAAAAATAATGAATTAGAAAAGAGAAAAAAATTAAGAAATGAACAAGAAAAGAAAAAATAAAAAAATTTTATTAGAAGGAAAAAGAGAAATACATGTAAACAGTAATTTGAGTCAATAAATGAATAGAAATTTTATTTGAATAATTTTATTTGATTGTAAATTAACTATCAATATTGATTTCATTAAATTTGTTTAATTATATTTTGACTAGTGTACATGATGTAACGTGTACATCCAATTTTGTTATTTTATTTTATTTGTTCATTTTTATTTATATTTAAATTAATATATATATATATATATATATTATTTTTTCTTAATATTAATAATAATTAAAATATTGTATTTTTTGTTTTTACAATAACCTATACAAAGAATTAGAATATCTATGATAAAAATAAAATAAATAAAAATTAGAAATTTTTTATAATTTGATTAAAATTTTTTAATTTAAGTGATAAGAAACTATTTTAGTTTGGGTTCTTAAAAAAAAAAGTTGATATAACTTTCATCAATGTAAATCACCTTTTATATTTCTTATATGTCCTAATTTTTCAAGTTTTAGTTATTGAGATTTGGATATGGTATTACATATATTTTGTATCTTATAGATAAATTGTACATATTTTATTTTATAATAGAAAATAAATATATTTCAGTTTATATTTTTCAATTTGGTATCTAAACTAACATCTTTTTTATACCAAATGCTTTTAAACATTCAAAATGGAAGGAATGAAGTCTAAATCATTGAGAATGAGATCAATTTCTTTTGTTGTTCAATCTAAGGGTGTTTTCAATGTAGGAATCATCCTCACAAAGTCCAACTATTATATTTGGTCACAATTGATGGAGATACATATTGCTAAGGGAAAAACTTTCTTTTATTCATGGCAAGATGAAACCACCTACTAAATCAGATGATGGATACGAAAGATTGTATGCCCAAAATTAGAAAGTTAAGATAAGGCTACTAATATCCATGACTCCAGATATTATGAAGAGTTGTTTGCATTTACCCACTACTATTGATGTTTAGAATGTTTTGTCAACAATATTTTATGATGACAATAATGAGATGCAAGTGTTTGCATTAAATAAAAAAGCCTTTACCACCAAATAAGGTAGAAAGTCTCTCTTAAAATACCATGGAGAATTAATAGAAATATTTCAAGAATTAGATCATCAAGATAAAGTGATTATGAAGGACCTTGGAGATATCATTGCATATCAAAAGTCGATTTAAGGACAAAGGTTTCACATACTTCTTGCAGGATTAGATGTTATTTTTGAACAAGTTCGGAGGGAGATTCTACATAAGGAACTAATTCTAGATTTAGAAGAATGTTATGTATTAATTCGTAGAGATATAGTTTGTTGTGAAATTTCAAATGAAGAGTTTGAATAAGTATCAATGGTGACTTGAAATTGATTAAGGACAACCATTAATAGTGATAAATCTACCCATAAATGCATCCATTACAATAAAATGAGATACATCAAATATCGTTATTTTGAATTAGTTGGATATTCATAATGGTGGGATTATAATCCTTTTTTTTTTCAAAGAAGAACAATAGAATGATGACAACTGCTACAATCATTACTCTCGCTACAATGGTAAGGTTTTTAATACTTTTAATAATACGTGGGTAATTGATTACGAGGTTACAAATCATACAACTTTTGATTCTAGACAAGTCCCTCAAATAAAATGGTCTTTAATAAAACATGTTTCCACTGCCAATGATTTTTAAATCTTATTGGTACTTTAAATCTTGATTTTGTCTTAGTCATCCCTTCTTTAAATTTTAACCTTTTATCTATTTCTTAAATAACAAATTCTTTATCTTGTGTAATAATTGTTTAGCCTAACTCTTGTGATTTTAAGGACATTCAAACAAAACAAACAATTAGTTATAATACTAGAAGAGGAAACATGTATTATCTTGACTTGATATAAAAGAAATGTAAGGAGGCACAAGTTTTGATAGTGGATAACTCTAAGGGCGAGAATAAAAGAAATTTGAAATATGAATGTGGCATCAATGTTTTGGTCATTCTTCATAAGGGTATTAAAAAAAAATATTTCCTAGTTTATTATTTAAAATGTATGATATTTCTAGTTTTCATTATGATGTTTATGAGTTTGCAAAGAGTTATAAAATCTCATTTTTATTAATTTTAAATAAAAGCCTTTAACATTTTTTGGTGATACATCCTGATTGTGGAGTCCATCTTAAACCGAAACTGTGGGTGGATCTTGTTGGTTTGTCACTTTT